CCCCCAAAAAAGAAAACTAGTCATTAAACAGGCAGAAACTTTTCAAATGCGAAACTCTGATTTAACATAACGAAACCGCTTCGGTGCTGGGAAGGCGGTGTGCGCACTTACACTGGGCCCGCCTCCGTGCATCTTCAGAGCCCGCACCGTTGCCACCAACACAACCGCGTCGGGCACCAGGCCGGAAGCGCGGCACTTGATGTTGAAGAATTTCTCCATTCCGATGTCAGCACCAAAGCCAGCTTCGGTCACTGTGGGGAAGCAAGTGGAGTATTACCTTCTAAAAACGAAAGTAGGTTTCGGCAATCACCACTACAATTCAAGCTCAAAGGACAGCTAAAATTCCCTGTGTTTATCAACACAACGGTGAGCTGATTTCCCCACTGTCATAGAAACACTCTCCATTATCTGCCCGAAAGAGATGGTGGGCGCCCTCCTCTGCTTCACACCACCAGGCCTGAGGAATCCTTGCCATGGCCAGGCCAAGACTTTTCTTCCAGTACCGTAACTCACAGCAAAGCTTTTCTTAATAAAATGAGGATTTTCAACTTCGTAATCAGGTTCCAAATTGTATCAAAGAACAATGATAGTATAATTATGATTACAATAGGAGACCCTTCTTCTTATGATTATTCTTTTTTTTTTTTTTTTTGAGATAGGGTTTTGCTCTTGTTGCCCGGGCTGGAGTGCAATGGCACAATCTCAGCTCACTGCAACCTCCACCTCTGGGGTTCAAGCAATTCTCCTGCCTCAGTCTCCTGAGTAACTGGGATTACAGACCCCCACCACCACACCCGGCTATTTTGTGTGTGTGTGTGTTTATAGTAGAGATGGGGTTTCACCATGTTAGCCAGGCTTCTGTTGAAGTCCTTACTTCAGGTAATCCACCCGCCTCGGCCTCCCAAAGTCCTGGGATTACAGGCATGAGCCACCATGCCGGGCCCTTTCTCACTTGTTATACAAAGAATAATTTATTTTAGTGCCACCCAGTCATTTCTGTTAACCGACCAATTTCAAGTTAGTTGAAGGGCATACAGACCCTGGTGATCAATCTGGATACAAGACAGTAGCTTTATTCGAGAAACACCAGAAAACACTCATTTCTAGTCCCCACCCCTTCAGTTGCTAGAAAGGTCACAGCTGCCTTTCAAGATAACATGAGGCACTGGGTCAGTAGCATCTTCTTCATATACAAATAGCTCCAAGCCCTTGCGACTCAATTCGAGATGCATGATCCAACAGCATCAGCAGTATCCGAGAGCCTCTAAGAAGTGTGGAATCTGGGGCTCCCCATAAAGTTTACGGAATCAGAATAACAGTGTAATAAGATCCCCAGGTGACATGAAAGTCCATTAAAATCAGGGAAGCAAACCATTCTAAGAAGGGAATACTGCTGATATAGTCAAAAGTGAATGTTTATTAAATACGCACTTATACACTGACAGTATGACCAGGACACAGATAAGAATCAGCGGGAGAAAAACTAAGAAATCAGAAACATTTAACATGATCAGTTTTTTTGCTGGACTACAGACTTTCTTGTTGTACTACAAAGTTTCCAAATTTACAATTATAAATGGCAGCTTATAATTTTGTTAAGTTGCTGTAGCAAGATTTACAAAACTGTTCCCCTTGTTGCTGAACATTTGGGGTGTTTCCAATATAAACAATGCTGCACTGAAAATATCTGTGCCTATGAGCTTTAATCTCTTTCAAATTATATTCTTGGAATAAATTCCCCAGCGTAAGGTAATGGGGCCAAAGGATATAAAAAATTTTTATGACCATTGATATATGCTTTTGACAAATTTAAAAAATTACATTAAAAATGTTCATTTTGGATAAATATAGCCACAAGCATTTTATAGTTTATTATGTGTTATTTAAACTAACTGCAGCAGAACACTTTTGAGAAATAAAAGGCATTCCTTTTTCTACAGTATTTGGGACAATTCTTGTGATTTTATTAGTAGTGGTCAAATCAGGGAAAATCACTTACAGTAACAATCCTTACTTCAGCAGTACCCTGGTAATGTATTTGTTAAGTTTAGCATGTTGGTGGCATCATGGACCCCAAAAGAGGGATAATCCAGGTGACTTTTGTCAAAAGTCATCATTGAGTGGGCTCCTGGAGGTGGAGGGCTGGACAACAAAGCCACAGTACTGGATTACATGGGGCTGCCCTGCAGGTTAGCACACAGACGGGACCCTGGGTCCCCTATAGCTACGCAGCCTCGGCAAGTTCCTTGTTGGAAGAATTACATGAGATGGCACAGGTAAATGACCAAGTCACTGGGTTGTGGTTTGTTTTTTGTTTGTTTGTTTTATTTTCCGGGTGCATACCGAGAACTCACAAAAACAGTTCACATCACTGGAACAGAAATGATAACTTTCCCACTTGCTAAAAATTATATTGAACTCCTAAGCATTTGTGGGAATTCCTGCTACACCCAGGCAATTTTTCTCACTGGTAGAAGCTCACTTTTAGGGTCACTACCGAGAAGCCCTGCAGGGAAGTGGGAGAGAGAACATCTGCTATTCAACTAGAGAGAGCTGGGGGGCGGGGTGGACACTGGGAGGAAGGAGTCTGCCTGGGAGGTGCGGAGAAATGGGGTGATGGAGTCAGGCTCTGAGAAGCAAGTAGGATTTTTCTAAGCAGAGAAATGAGAGTTGGGTATGGCAGGCAAAGGTCAAGGGGAGGAAGGAGAGGGAGGAAAGAGATTCACAGGTAAAGGACAGAGCCGGGCAGAAATGGTCAAGATGAAGAGAAATCAACTGTCATGATGGGAGAGGTTTCACCAGCAAGACCTGTTCCCTGGCCTGATCAGTACTGAGGAGTGGGACTGGAGGAACCCAAATGTTACACATTTTTTTCCCTGCTATGGTATTTAAAAAATCTGTTTCATGTCGCCTTATAGTTGGAGGTAGATTGTTGCATACATTTTACATAATGGGGCTGATCAAGTGATCTCTAAGTTCTTCTCAAATGGATGCATATTTATACATTAAACTACCCTGTCAGCTGGCTAGCTCCGTGATGAGACGGCCCACATGTGTTTGAGACATTAACATAGCAAGGCACGTAGAAGGCACTGAAGGAAGTCATCATCTATCACCAAACCAAATAAAAAGAGAGTAGCAGAAAAACATGTTTTAAAACACGTAGACACAAATATATTAATGACAAGTTTCATTTATAACCACTGAATGGCCTTGAAAAATAGCAAACTCCAATTCCCTTCAAAAACCTAGCTCCCTATAATCCCAGCACTTTGGGAGGCCAAGACTGGCAGATCACCTGAGGTCAGGAGTTCAAGACCAGCCTGGCTAACATGGTGAAACGCTGTTTCTATTAAAAATACAAAAAATTAGCTGGGCGTTGTGGTGCACACCTGTAATTCCAGCTACTCAGGAGGCTGAGACAGGAGAATCGCTTGAGCCCCCGAGGCAGAGGTTGCGATGAGCCAAGATCATGCCATCGCACTCCAGCCTGGGCAACAAGACTGAAACTCTCTCAAAACAAACCAACCAACCAACCACCATAGCTCCTCTCCCCCTTAATACTCCTGTGTAGTCACCATGTTCTCCTATCTTCACTGGTTCCTGCTTCTCCTAAAGCACCTTAATATACAAGCCAAGGCCACGTGCGGGTAAACTTCCCTCCACCACCTCCATCTTCCTCCACATTCCCTGCCTCAAATTTCAGGCTTCTGTAATACCAAGTTTCCAGCAGAGCCCACACACACTATGTTACTTGTCATCACCTCCAGTCCTCTTCTCCCATCTGGAACATTCCTCTTGCCTCTCTCTGCCTCTTTAACCCGCTGTCCAAGTCTCAGCCTAGCTATGCCATTTCCTGGAAGCTTGTCCTTATGCTTTCAGGGAGAGTCGGCTACCCTCCCGCCTGTCCCATCTTCTCCCGGGCCTGTGGTGTGCACCCTAATGAGACTGATGTGCCATCTCCCACGTGGAAGGTGGGACCATGCCTTATTCATCTTGTAGCTCCACTTCCTAACACAGTGCCTGACACAAAGTCAATGAACAAACAGGATGGGACTCAGGAGCCAATGACAACCTCAAGGAAAGGCCATGCTTCGGTGGACGAAACAGAATCACATAGAAGTAGCATACTTCCCTAGCATACTTTCCTTTTTTTATTTTTTTGAGATGGAGTCTTGCTCTTGTCTCCCAGGCTGGAGTGTGGTGGCGCCACGTTGGCTCACTGCAACCTCCGCCTCCTGGGTTCAAGTGATTCTCCTGCCTTAGCCTCCCGAGTAGCTGGGATTACAGGCGCCTGCCACCATGCCGAGCTAATTTTTGTACGTTTAGTAGAAATGGGGTTTTGCCATGTTGGCCAGCCTGGTTTCGAGCTCCTGATCTCAGTTGATCCGCCCGCCTCGGCCTCACAAGCTGCTGGGATTACAGGCGTGAGCCACTGCATCCAGCCCCTTTTTTTCTTACAGTATTAAAATGGTTTTACTAACAGGCATAAATGTCATATCCAATAAAGATGTGACCATCTAAAACGTCTACATGGGTTAGCTAAGCTTAATTTCACATTTTCTTTCTTTATTTATTCATTTATTTTTCAAATGGAGTTTCGCTCTTTTCACGCAGGCTGGAGCGCCCACTGCAAGTCCACCCTCACCTCCCGGGTTCAAGTGATTCTCCCGCCTCAGCCTCCCGAATAGCTGGGATTACAGGCACCTTACATCATGCCCAGCTAATTTTTGTATTTTTATAGAGACAGGGTTTCACCATGTTTTATTTTTAAAAAGATACAAACTGGAAACAAAAAAGTAGTAATAAAGAGAACTCCAGCTAGGGGAATAAAACAACAAGTGGTGGCAAATGGCCGAGGATGCCGGCTTCCAAATCAAAGGAAACGGAGAGACAAAGAATGGGAAGGAAACAGAAGAAAGTACCAAATTCTCCCATTGAAACTGCAAACTGTCCTGAAATACTGCAGGTAATCACGTTTATGTTGTTTGGCTTCAAATATAAGGCTGCCAAGGAAAGAGAACATGGAAAAGGCATGCTGATGTGTAATCAGTCATTGTAAAAGTAAAACTTACTTTAGTAAGGGACCACCAATCACTATGCATTTGGACACTGTGGAGTGCTGCATATCTGTGCCTTAGGGGGCCTTGACATGAAGACCCACCTTATGAGAAGCAGACAAACCACTCTTATAGGAAGGTTCCATTTCCTAGGTACTTCTTAGGAACTGACAACATATCTCACCGATAAG